AAAACAACGCAACCCCTCGCCTGGTCTCTGGCGCGTAACAGCATCTCAAGTGTGTGTGTGTGTGTGTGTGTGTGAGTGTGCACAAAGCAATATTTATGCTCATGTACGCATATTTTTGGAGCAGTAGAGCTGAGGCTGAGCCCGCTCTTCCAAATTAAGCAAGGAATATGCGCGACGCTTTTATTAGAAATCAGCGAAGAAGTGGTGAAGAGCAGGAGTCGGAGTCGGAGTTGGAGTTCGGTTTGGCAGGAGATTGATACTGCAGGGGGAGTGGCGAAATGCTTGGCATACGTTGCATAAGGAGGCAGCACTTCGTAATCAAAATTCCGCTAAATATCATGAGAGAGCTAAGGAATAAAAAGAAGAATAAATTGGAGGCCGACAATTGCTGAATATTTTTGTGCCCTGTATCAAATGGAGACAAAGCTCGTTTAATTTGCATGCTTGAGATATGAGAGATACCTGCATTAGTATTCCTCTCTCTATAGTTTGCACACAATACCATCTGCCCGCGCTCTAATCATAAAAGTCAGCCTGGGATATATTTTCTGAAGTGCTGCTCAAACTGTGGCATATTAAAAGTCAATTTGCAAAGTCAACAATCATCGAACTATGAGAGCAGAGGGTCGACAGTGGCTGATTACCTGCTGAGACGGCAATCTGTGTAGACAGCAAGCACTTAATTACGAATTCCAGGCCGGGGCACAAGTCAAAGGATACCGAATTAAGGATATGAATTGCCAGCTCAATGAATCCACTGCAAAGCTGCAGCACTGCGGCTCTTGATTAGTTGACGCAACACAGAAAAAAAGAAGAAGAAAATAAATAAGGGACAGGCAAAACTAGAAAGAACAAAGCTTCATTATGCACAAGTTGTTGTTGCTGTTGTTGTTGTTGTTGTGGGCGTGGCAGCGTAATGAAGTCGCCAGCGTTGGGCAACGCTTCGTTTAAGCGAGCGGCTCAAATTATGCAGCAAATACGTAAGCAGCAGCAACTGCTTGCATATGCAAGGGACGGGGAGCAGGAGCAGGAGCTGGAGGAGGCTGAAATAATATAAATGTGCATATGAATTTTGAAGAAACGGCAAAGGATACGCGCCTGCTGCCTGCCAGGCAATGCAAAAGTGCACTTACTTACGAGCACTAACACCGACACACACACACACACACGCACACTCTCACATATGAAGAGTAAATTTATGCTTGTGTTAAAGTTTCTGGTGCGTGTGTTGGCCAAAAGTTTCAGCGCAAAAACTTGAGCAGCAGCAGCAGCAGCTGCAAAAATGTTCAGCACTCACACAAATTAAATAACAATTTTCTCTTACAATTTCGCAACGTTTTCGCTTTGGCTTTGGCTTTGGCTCAGGCTCTGGCTTTTCCGTTGCGTTTCCTTAACATTTTTCTCTGCTCCAGCTTCGGCTCTCTCTCTCTTTTTTCTCTCTTTTTTTTTTGTGCATTTCACTATGTCGTTAACTTTGTGTGGGCGTTTGTGTTGACAATGTGTATGTGTGCGTGTGTATGTGAGTGTGGGTGTGGCTAAGTCTGCATATGTTAACTGGCTGCTTGCGAAAGTGGCTCAGTAGACTTTGTCGCCAGTTTTGCGGCTCCCGCCTCAGCCTCCGGCTTGGCCCCATTCGGTTGGCGTTTTGTTTACATTTTATTTTAAGTAATTTAACCAAATGCAGCAAACTTCTGCTTTCGACTCGCTTTTTATTTTTGTCAACTTAAAAGTTACACAGCTCGAAGAGAGAATTTTTTATTAGCTCTAAAGTGCAGTTTAATGAAGATATTTTTGGTCGCCTGCCGTCCTTCAGTTTGAAATAAGCAAACGAACAACTCAGCTGCCGCACCAAATTTAATGCCGAGAATTTTCACTAGGGGAGCAATCCCTAGGTCTGCAATGTGTTGGATATTGGTGAAGCATTCTTTACTTTTATGAGCATGCATAACTATTTATTATATTTTCCTTTAGTTGAAATAATTACTTTAATTTGATAAATATCTTTCTATATGGGAAACCATATGTAGAATTAAATTAGTAGTCGGAGCATCATTGTCTGATATACCGCCTCACTAAGGATATCTGAGGTGAGTTTATTCAATAGAAAATAATGCTAACCATGCTTTGAGTCTAAATTAAAACGTATTTTTCTTTCCAGCAATGCATATAATTTTCCCCAAAATAATTAAAGCAACAATAATTAAAAGTGACCCCAATATCCTCTCTAAATAAGTGAGCTTGGTTTTGAATGAATGAAAATAGACAGTCAAGACTATAATAATAAAAAAAATTGAAAGAAGATGTAAAATAAATAAATAACTTTAATAAGAAATAAATAAGGAAGTATAAAAAAAGAAAAAAATATATGTATTGTAAAATAAAGCAATAATTACAATCATTTAAAATATCATATACTACTAAGCTGAAAATCAATCAATGTTTCTCTATCCACATTTTTCTTTGGCTATGCTCCCTCCCTACGTAATATACATAATTCAATCTGTCTTCCTTCTTCCTATACTTAAATTATTTTATTTATTTATTTATTAACAAGGATTTGCTTTTAGCTAGGCTTGCAAGTAATTTGTAGTCGAGTTGGAGCACAGAACTTGCCAGCTATTGATATGCATTTGGTGACTGTTTGCAGATTTGCACTTAAAATTAATCCAGCTTTAGTTACTTCATAGTTGGCGCTTGTGATAATTAAGTGTTTATCAGTTGCAATTGTTATAAATTTTATATGCGTTTATAACAACGGTCGCTGCACTTCTCCAACTATTGCCAACACTTGCTCTATGTTGTACTACGTGCAGTGCTTCCTCTTTTACTACTACTACTACTACTACTACTACTACTATTTCTTCTTCTTCTACTTGCAATCGAGCATTTGAAAAAAAGGACCGGAAACTTTATAGACTGAGAAACTTGCTCGACTTTTGCTTTGCAGTTTGGGAGTTTGTGCTTTTTTCTTTGTATTTTGTTTAATTTTAGAAGCAAACACAAATACGAAACGAACAACGAGTAGATGTACAAGTGCAACTACATTGAAGCCATTTACCCAGGAGGTTTACACACATACACAATTTGCTGACTTGTCGCTCACTCACTATCTCTCTCTCTTTCCTGGTCTCCCGCTTCCCGCTCTCTTGCTGTCTCTGTCTGGCCGAGTAGTAAATTTAATCTATTGTACGAACCATGTTGTGTGTTGGGTCCTCGCGCGTTTACAGGTTTTATCTAACTTGTTTGCTGCCTTTTCACCTGCTCCCTCTCTTGCTCTCTCTCTCTCGCTCTCTTATGCGTCTGGCATATCCTGGCATCTTTGACTCCAGCCACCAGTTACGGCTGCCAGGCAATCCTTTCTGGCTGCCACTTGATAAATATGACTATTTCACGCTGCCAGCACTACTCGCACCCACCCGCTTTGTGTTTAGTTGTTTATTTGCGTTAAGCGTTAGCAGCAACGCCTCTGTCATCTTTTACTGGCTCTTCCTGTCATGTCCCGGGTTCGGGTCCGGGTTCCCGGCAGCGTATTTTGTTTATACAGCACTCAATTTCGCAGTTTTAATGACAAAATGTCTTACCTTGAAACTGCATGCGAGATAGCATTATAAGTGTGTGTGTGGGTGTGTGTGTGGATGTTTCTCTCTTTCTCTCCGTGTGTGCGTTCATATGTCTAGTCTGTACAAGCGCCTCGCCTCCTTCACTTGACGCCACTTGAGCGACTTTGTTTGATTGCTTTGGCCGCAGCTCGGGCGCAACTGTGAGCTACCATGTTTGTATTGCACTCGACGGGCTCTAAGTCCGGGCAGGCTAGCCGGACCTGCTGCTGTCAGCTGGCAGACGCGGGCTGAGCAGCTAGCCAGCCAGCACTTGGCAAGTTTTATTGTCTCAGTGTCCACTTAACTTTCGCCTCGAAGACAACTTAATGCTGCCCCGCAAACGAAACGAGCAGGAGAGTGAGAGAGAGGTGGAGAGAGAGAGGGAGGAGCAGAGAAAGGAGCTGACAATATGAAATCAAAGATGTGCGCATTTTCTTTAATTTCCGGTTGTATGATTTTCCATTTTTTTTTTTTTTTTTGTTGCTCCACTTCTCCCAAGGATTCAAACAGCAACGTGTCGGCATTGTCAGCTACAGCTGAACGTTTTATTCATGGCGTATACGTAATTTCTCAATGCCTGAGCGGGAACTGATTGGAATTGGCTCTGCCTTTGCCGAGTCATCAATCATGCGTCGTTTTTCCACACGCCCAGGCAAAGATTTGACAAGTGTCAATGCGACAAGATAGAGCGCCGAGGCAGCAAAGACAGTGGAGACAGAGACAGAGAGCAAGACAGAATGTGAGGAAGAAAAGTCTTTGGGCAACTTTTTGAAAATCACATGCAAAGTAAAATGTCGAAGTTTTGACAGGCAGCGCAAGGAAGCTGAGCGGGGAGGACGAAGCTGGTGGGTGAGGGGTTTCTGCAAAAAAATATTCACACAAAGCTGAGACGGAAAACTTTTCATTTGTTTTGCAATGTGCTGAAAACTGCTGTCAAAGTTTTTAATGTTTTTAACTCGCTGCTGTCACCTGCCAAAGCTCGAAAAGTAGGCTACATAAACTGTGCGAACCACTCAGCGCCGAAGCAGTTGTCCCAGCTGGACTGCAGATTACACTCGACGAAATTACATAGCACATACATATATACATTCGTATGTCAATATATTGATCCAGATTTAATACCCAATGAACCAATTTCGTCTCTTATTCAATATTCAGCATTAATTGTGAAGTCTTGAAAATATATTTGCATATTTATATTTCTCTCAACATATTAGCATATTCAAGCCAATTCAGCTAATGATTGATTCATTTCCAGTCAGTTGAGTGAATTTAATAATAATTCGCAATGCAGTTTCTCAAGTCGGCTTGCCTCAGTAATTTATGCGATTTTGTTTAGATTTAATTAGTAAGACTTTCAGTTTACAGCTACTTGTTAAACAGAGTTTACTTTCGACTTACCCTTGACTGAAACGACGACACTTTGCAGCACTTCGAGCTTCTTCTTGTTGGCGGGGGATTGGCCCACGCACTTGTAGGTGCCCGCATCCTGGTACATGACATCCTTGAGCGAGAATTGACCCGTCGGAGTCGAGCTGCCGTAGCCAAGGCCACGCAGACGTGCCGAAACCGGATCCAAATGTGACCAGCAGCCCAGGGAGCCTGCGAATAGAGCAGAGAAAACATTAAAGTCATTGCATAATTTGACTTGGCGCCATTTCTAATTTAATTAATTGAGTATGCCGGGGCACGCAAGTTTTAATTTCTTTAATTGATGCCGGAGTCGTAAACAACAAAAAGCTTCCACTTCCATTTGTCAAAGAGGAACCGTGCCTCACCCACTCCTCAACCACCCACCACCCACCACCCACCGCCTACGAGTCCTACGCACCCCGAGCTAACTGATATTTCGGCTGTGGCCCTGGCGACGCGTCGCCTCGTTTGCTGACTGCCTAAAAGTGAGCAAAGTAAATTGCACGCATAATTAATTTTCAATTGTGCTAATTAATGAATGGAGCTCCATTCAGCGACTGCCAGCGCAATCTTTTCGATCTGTGCCTCAATTAGTGGAACGAAAATCTAAAATGTAATTAGATATACGGCGCATCTATCAGCGAGGCTCATTTCCCTGTTGCCCGCAGTCGAAGCATGGCCCCTGCTCAATTGCTTTGATGTTTTTATAAAAAACAATATGAGTAGACCTATAAATTATTACAATTGACGAGAGGGCTCTAAAGTGGTTCAAATAAATTCAAATGATATCGAACCGAAACAAAGATATTTACAGAAATGTGGTTTTAGTTTTATATTTATATAAAATAAAAAATCCATAAAAAATAAGGCTTGTTGCTATGCAATATCCTTTCTGTACTTAAAGAGCATTTTCTTTACCAAAATAATATTTCACAAGCCGTAAAACTATAAATTTGATGTAGAGATTATCCATTTCATTTTTTTCTCAAAAAAATCTTTTTTTTAATCTTATTTTCTATTATATTATGCATAATTGAATTCTCTACTTTTTAGTGATAATAAATAATATAATAAAAAATTCAAATATATATTTCTATATCCTATATACTCAATTTATTTATTATCTAGGCTTATATTGCTCACTTCATAATATTAAATAAAACTGAATAATAAATTTTTTATATATATGGTTATTTATTTATTTTGTGTATTATTTATTTTTATTTTTGCAAATGCAGCACTCAGCTGTTCACTTTCTGCTTAAGATCCTGCCTTAACAGTTACTTACCTTGTGGACACTGAAGTGTCACCGCACCGCCGAGCTGCACCTCCAGCTGCCCCTTGTTGGGATTGTGCGAGGCAGCGGCTACGGAGACATCTTGATCATCTGGCTCCGATGTGACATCCACCGAGTCGTCTGTGCATATAGATAGAGAGAGAGAGAGAGAGGGAAGAGAGTAAGAGAGAGAGAGAGAGAGAGAGAGAGCATTAGAAAATGTGTGCAAATTTATGAACATTTAAAGAGTTTCGCGCTGGCAACACATGCGCAGGGCCATAAAATATGATAAGCTTGTCAGCAATTGTCAAATGTGACAATATTTCAATGACAAAAAAGAAGAAAAGTAGGTGGAGTTGGGGCTGGATGGGCGTTGGCAGTTCTTAAGCAAAACAAATTGCTGACAGGATGTGGGCGACACTTAGGTGACTGTGCAGCACCTGAGTCATGGCAGAGCGCGCGACGGCTGCTGCGAGCAGCACAATGAGTTGGCACTTCCGATTTGGCGTGATTTGACAGACTAGTAAAGTTCAGTTGTTGGTTCAATGGAACTAAAAGTGAGTAGCGCTGTGCAGGCAACTGGAAAATTGACTGAACCTCACTCACGCAGCACCACGGATTCATAAATAAACACCGAGTAGCAGCAGCACGATAAGAAAAAGACATTACGTCGCTTCGTTCTAATTTCGTTGCCAGCCAAAGAAAATGGCACCAAATTTATGCGACATATTCGCATATTTTGTACTTAACAGCAAAAAAATTTCAAAAACTTTGGACTGAGAGCGGCGTAAGCTTTGTGTGGGTGGTTGTGTGGCTTAGAGCTGAGACCATATTGTGCTATCGTGCGTGAGATCAGCAAGCACGAAGAAAGTGAATGATTTGTACCTACACCTAGTATAAAAAATGACATGTAACAGAACTTTTAATACCAAGATCACAGACCGTTCTTGGAGTATATCTTATCAAACGTACTGCTATATTTGTTAATAATAATACTCAATGCATTTTTATAGTATATATTCACTGATAATTAAAGTCAAGTACAATCAATGAATTTTTATATTATAATTTTTTATATTTTTATATTAATCAATTACCAACACGATTAAAAAATTTTATACAACAGTGAAAAAATGTCGGAATTCGAACGGTACTATTGTCGTCTCGTGTGGCGAACTGTAAAGTAGGAGAGCATCTCTGGTGTGGCGGTCTGTGGTGGGCTTTCAATTTCAGACTGCCTTTTGTGCCACATACTTTATGGCGCTGTTCATATTACATATAAATTACAATTTGCGTTGACGTGCGCCTAAAAGTGTACGGCGTGGGGCCTTTTGTTTGAGACCGGATATCATAACAATAAGTTGCCCAAGTGGATGATGCCTGAGCAAAAATCATGACAAAGGACCCAGGCAAATTGTCTGCTAGCATGTGTGTGCGTATGTGTGTGTGTGTGTGTGTGTGTGTGTGTGGGTATGTGGCAAGGCCTCTGGCCTCACGTAAGTCTTACAAAGTGTTGCCTACTTATCAGGGCCGCAATTCGCTGCCATTTCAAATGTCTGGCAATTTGAGGTTGCACCTCAAAGCGCTCATAAAATTAGCCTTTGCCGCAGAGCCCCCCATCCCTCGCCTCCGGCAAGTGCTTAGCTGGGCTGCCGCACAATTAACAAAAACTACTAATTACAAACAGTCGGCGGCCGTCTGGCCAGCCTGAGCGAATCCCTTTACAAAAACGCACCCCAGACACACATTAAAGAAGTGTCGAAACCCTTAAAGTTCCACGAGTCGAGCTGAGATTTGCACGAGGCGGTGAGTCAACTAGGAGGTGCGTACTCTAAACGCCAAAGTAACAATTAATTGTAAGCTCATTTCGAGCCGAGTGCCTTCGTCGCATGTCAATCAGTTGGCATTGGTGGTGGCCTGGGGTGGAACAACCCTCAGCGCGGTCAGCAACCCCTGCAAATTTTATTGCTGACAATAGCGCAAAATGTTTTTGTCTGCGGGGTGCTGCTCGATGGTCATTGAGGTGGAGGATGTAGGCCCAGAGGGGGCGGGCAGGAGGCGTGTTGCTTAGTCAAAATCACGTAGTTATAAACATTTTTTATTGTTCGAGCACAAAAAAAGACAAAGCGACGTTTCGTTGCGCAAATTGACAAGTGAGAACTCTGGACAAATTGAGAGAATGAATGAGGATGCCTCTGCCTCTCTGCCTCTCTCTCTCTCACCCTCTCTCTCGATGACTTTCTCTCCCTGTCACTTTCGCCGAGTCCGCCTGACGGCTGTCTATAAAATGTCTAATGAGCTCAGCTCGACTGACAGACATTTGTCAATGGACAATGCTCGCGGCCTGTTTGATGGCAACTGATAAGAATTTGAGACTGCAAATTGTAAAATGGAACTCGCCGTTTGTCGCCCTGGGGCGAGAGTTTGTCGCTGCGAGGCGTAATTTGAAAAGGAAGGCATTTGATATATTATGAAATTAGATAATAGTTAAGAGGGGGTGACAATAGAATGGGCAAACCCGGGAAGTAATCAGACCAAACAAATGACGATATGCGAGCACAATTCGATTATGCTTTAAAGTCCATGAAATATTTGGCTGAACGAGCTGAGAAGCTGGAAGAAACCAATAGCTCGATAAAAACGAAAAAAAAATCGAAAAAAAAAATTTAAAAAATTATTAAATAGAAGAGGGGATATAAATACATAGAAATAAACAATAAAAATATAATTTCATAAATAAATACATCAATAAAAAAAAATAAATAAATACATATTTATATAAATAAATACGATTTTTTTTTTTTTTTTTTTTTTTTTTTACCTATTATTCGTGTTTTTATCTAGTTTGAATGAAAAAGAAAATGGAAAAAAATATATAAGTGAATAAATATTTTTTATTTTTTAATTAATTAAATATATAAAATTAAAAAGGAAACAAAAAAATATATATATAAAAAAAAAGTATATCTCTTTTTTTTTATATGTCTAATTTTGCCATTTAAACACAAAAACTCTTGTAATTTGTTGTGGGCTCATGTTCGTATATAATATTCAATATTTATTTATACACTGTTGCTACTATTTGTATTATATTTAACTAACTATATTTAACTAACTCCTTTACCCCTCCATCCGAAATTCACTCTCCATTTAAGCCAACCACTAAGAGTCAAAGTTTTTACTCAACTTTATTCAACATTTGCTCAAGCTCTACACTTAACATTTATCCCCTCCCATCTCAAGCTCAAACACACACACACACACACACACACACACACACACACACTTACCCACACAGATTGCATAACATAATTCGCAGCACTTGTTCCACGCATATTTTGCTCAATGGCCATTCATAAGTATATACATACAAGCCGCACCGAGCTCTGCCCACAGCCGAAAAGAGGAGAAAAGAAAAGCAAATAAACAAAGGCAAACAAATGTGCATCAAGTAACGTCCATATGTCCTCATGGTTGGGGGGCTCGGGCCGGAGTTGGATTGATGGGAACGGTGAAGACTCGTGAATGTCTTCCGCATGGCATATAAATCCGAAGCAGAACAAGAGAACGGCAACAAATATGAAGAGCAAACAACAAACACTAATGCAAACAAGAGGAATCAATATGCCAGACAGCGCCAGGCGCTGAGTGAGTGTGAGAGACACAAAGAGAGAGTGAGTGAGACAGAGTTACATCATATTTCAAGGGATAAGGGGTTGACGTTGGCGTTGGAGGGCTGTAGTGGGTCTCGCCACCAATCATTAATCATAAAGCATCATCATCAGCATGTTGGCGTTGCCTTCAAGTAGTTGCTCCCCTCCCCCTCGCAAGCCGCCCATCGCCGGCCAGCCTGAAGGACTCTGAAGTGCGTTGAATTCTGGGCTGTGGCATGTGGCATGAGGCATGGTTTGGGCTGGCGCTGGAGCAGGGGCAGGGGCGGAGGCTATGTGCCGCCTGCCAAATGCAGGCCAGTCAGTCACAGCACAGAGCAGCCCGAAAATCCTCGCCCTGAATCCGCACCCTGCTTAAGCAACCAGATAGAGTGTATCAGCCACGTCAATATGTCCACACACACTTCCTTTGTGCTGAATGGGAGTGTTGCTCGGATCGTAAATCCTTCAAAACACGCATTGCTGTCGTTTACATATTGAAAAGTTATTAACTTGTTTACGCACACGGCTCTTGGTCAGGCAAACAGGGGTATTCCCTCACTTTCCTTCACTTCACTTCTCTTCAGTTCACTCATAATTCTATATATATATACAAAATAGTTTTCTGCTTTCGCCGGTTGCACGTTTCATTTTCATTTTCATTTGGCGTCTGGAAAAGTGCAACATCATTTTTATTCATGAATATGAAGCTGCATCAGCTCAGAGAGCTCAGAGAGCTGAGGCAGCAATCAGCTTAACTTACAAGCTTCTTCATAAACAGCGAACGGAAGCCATGCCCACGCTAAGAGCAGGAGGCGGGGCTGCATGCCTCGTCAAGTGGAAACGAAGGCGCTCTGTGGCGGGTGCATTTGATTGCGTTTGTGTCTTGGTTATAAATTTTAATTTCTGTTCGCCGTTTCAGCTTGTATAGAGTGTGCCGTTATTTTTAGTGGAATATACTTGTATCTATGTATATGTATACATATAGAGAACTCTTTTTCGGTTTCTGCTGATGCCGCTTAAGCGTGGGGATTACATCTACAGTCTACGCGATTAATTTGCAATGAGCTGAAATTGAAGATGATTGCACTGGATGTGATGTGGGAAACGGAGAGAGAAGACTTGAAAATATAATAATCGATAAGCATAAGGAATGCGCATAGTTTGGGATATAAAGTCTGAGTCATAAAGGAGAAGATAAAATCAAAAATGCATAAATGGTTTTTGAAATATAAATAGAAAATGAAAAGTACAAATATTAAACACATTAGAGACTAAAACGAAAAACTTAAAAAAAAAAAAACTATGAAATAAAATAATATTACTATCATGCCATAAATATATGTACATATAAATAAAAATATTTAAATAAATTTAAAAAAATAAATAAAAAAAAAGGAAAATATTTTTAAGCTACTTTCCAAATGATATTAAAATATTTTAAAAATAATATTTATTAAATATCTGTTCCACATTTAGCTATATCGCCAA